CTGACGTGAAATATCCTCAGTGGTAGACGGATCATGGGTTAGAGTCCCCTTGCCGTCAGGCTAACCGTGGGAGCTTCTCGTGGTCTTCCTCTCCATGTAACGCAAATGCGGGTTAGTTCCACCAAAAAGTCCTCCACGAAGGCAAAATTTGTCCCAATACTTGATCCAGGAGTTCCCTGGTCTTCTGTATTGGGTTCAAAATTACAGGAAATAAAATAAAAACTACTAATAACAGTACATTCGAAGAATTTTTTCTTCTAATTCGGTATTTGCTTAGCTGAATTTAAAAGAGGTAACTTTAGAAACATTATAGATAAGCTCTGAAGTTGTTAAAATAATTACAAATTGGTAATGGAAGATTAAATAACAAGGGTAATAAATTAACCATTATTATGTTGACATAAAATTATTGTGTATGAAAGGTTTTAAATGAACATTTCATAAAAAAAAGAACTTGAAAAGTTCTTGATTGAAGAGAATAGACCTGTTGAATGTTTTAATTCAACTAATTATATTAAGAATGATGGGAATTGAGAATATTCCCTTTATTTTTACGGAGATTTAATTTTTTTTAATTATTTGCTTTTAAATTAATCACACAACGACTATTACTAAACTTTTAAAAAAATTTTTAGAAGTATAAAGACTTCTCGTCATGAAGAAAAACAAAAACTTATGCCAAATAGCTATTTCGTGGACTAAAGAAATATATTTCATAAAGGTGGAATCAAAGTATTTTAAGAATGATGGGAATTGAGAATATTCCCTTTCTTTGTACGGAGATTTAATTTTTTTTAATTATTTGCTTTTAAATTAATCACACAACGACTATTACTAAACTTTAAAAAAATTTTTTAGAAGTATAAAGACTTCTCGTCATGAAGAAAAACAAAAACTTAAGCCAAATAGCTATTTCGGGGACTAAAGAAATATATTTCATAAAGGTGGAATCAAAGTATATTAAGAATGATGGGAATTGAGAATATTCCCTTTATTTGTACTAAGATTTAATTTTTTTTAATTATTTGCTTTGAAATTACATAAAGTTTGAATAAAATTAGAATCTTTGCTTATTAATGCATTTTATTATTTTTTAAGGTCGTTACACCATATTTAAATCTGGGGAATTACATATTCGGCATGTGCAACAAACTGATTCTCTTAGCAGCTATAGTTGCAGAACGAAGCATAGACTCACAGGGTTGACGGTAGTTAGTTCGAATCCTGCCAGAATTATTGTTACAGGTAAGATCATGCCTATTTTATTTCATAGAAAGATAAATAATTATTTATTGTACAAACCTAGCTTTAGCAGTTTATTTATGACTAATTTACATTTTGCAAAGTTTGAACCACCTATTAAGAACCGAAAAATAGATATATCTTTAATCCTCGAATTTGCTTCCTGAGAAAAAAAACTGTATTATTGTTACATCATTTAAACGAGTAGTATTTTAATCAATATTATTGTTATCGTAAGTAATTAAATAAACTAAACAATATTATGCGAAAGGAAATCAATCAAACACTGGTGGCAAAATACATTAAGAAACATTACTTCTGTAATATTCTGCACTTAAGAAAGAATTTAATATTCACAGCTTACAACGATTCATCATAATGTATCTACAAGAGTAATCTTCGTCTTCCAGAGAATGATTTAATAAAAAACAATTTTTGAAAAATATATCACACCACGGTTACTCTCATTGTTTGTGTATCAAATACCGAAAACCACACGGGGACAAAAGTATATTTATTCGGAGAAAGTACTTTTATGTGTCAGATTTCAGCCATTTTTGATAATCCACAGCGATAGGTCTGAAAGAACGTTCTATTATTTTCAAAGCTGTCCTGGCTGGTGACTGAGAGAATATCACAAAGCACCATGGAATTACGGAAAATCTCAAACAAAATGAAAATATTTCCTATTGGTAAATGGGTGTGTATTGAAGGCAAATGGCATGGAATTAATTGCGAAGCTCATAAGCATTTGTATCGGTAAAGGAGGTGTTCAGCGTATGCTTGTGTTGTCATCAATAATCTTCTTTTTCCACACGAAGAGCGAGAATAAGCATTGACATTAAACTCGTTTTGACTCTTGTGAAAGCCTCAATGATGCGATGAATTGTTATCAAGTCTTAAATGAACCCTGGCAAGTATGCAATCGCTTCCTTACCCATTGAAAGTCATTGTAATGTTTTGAACTCTTATAAAGACGGACTTCGGTGGTGAATTTTCGGCCGGAATGAGACATCTATCGAGAACACGAGGTATTTCTGAAAGCCATGAAAAGGTCAGTGATGAGGTCTAACTGAAAGAACATCAACGACCAGCACCGACAAATATCTGACATGTATGTGGCGAAGTACTTGAATTCAAATAGTCATGAGAATGTTCATTTTTTGATAGAGTTATTCACCATTCCAAAAAGTATCGAAATGATATTGCAGAGTTTTGGCAACTCTGCAACCGATTTCCGGGACGATTAATCGGACCAAAGTTTCCCCAGATATCTCACAGTCTTGCAATCTTTTTTCAGATGAAAAATAGCAGTTGATTAGCAGGTGATCGGAGACGATTGCACGATTACGCATGCGCAAGCTGGCTAACTTCGCAACCTGTTCCAATCAACCTGGCTTGCTGGAACGCAATATATAAGCTTTGCAATAAACTCAGTGGTATTTACTTCGCCACTTTACTTCGACTTTATGGCATGTAAATAGGATCGCATTTATTAGTAAACGAAACAGACTATCTAAATTTATGCACAAATGGTTTTGATGATAGCAGAACCCACATAGCACCAAACCATACTAAGTAGTTTCAACCCCTATCCAAAGACTTAGGCATCGCTAGAACTAGCATCCGTAACTCCATAACTTCTCGCCGTCCTAAACGACAAAATGTATATCCACGACAGGTTTTATATTCTCTTTATTTCATTTTATAATTGTCGTTGAACAGCCAACCCAATTTTATGGGTTTCAGACTACTAATAATCAAATCCGCTGCCTTGAAATTTTGAACCCAATCCAGAAGACAAGGGAACTCCTGGATCGAGTATTGGGAGAGATTTGCCTTCGTGGAGGACTTTTTAATGGAGCTAACTCGCATTTGCGTTACATGGAGAGGAAGATCACGAGAACCTCCCACGGTAATTCTGACTGCAAGGGGACTCTAACCCATCATCCGTGCACCACTAAGGATATTTAACGTCAGCACTGTGATCGGTGCAATCCGGATGCGGAATTCGTAACGACTGAGATTCGAACCCGGTTCGCCTCATTAGAAGGCGAACGCATTATCCCCTGAGCCATCGCGGCTCTTATATTATCTTTAGCACGTATACACGCTCTTTACTTAGTTGGCAGCTAGAATCGTACATGCGATTTTTATCGGTTTGAGAAGCACCCTAAACCATAGCGCCACTGGATCACAAGACAGCAAAGCATATAATTGGACTAAAAATACATATAAATTTGCAATCTCCCCAAATTTGTACTTCAATTTAATATGTGTAGATAGAGGCCGGGATATAGGGCTCTGGGTCTAAGTCCAAGAGGTCGTGGGTTCGATCCCCGCTGGTCAAAGACTCCCCTAGTAGTAAACGGTGCCTGACGCACGTTAAATCTGTCTAGTCACAAGGTCCTCCACGTTCCCACAACAAACCATACTGATCCAAAAGTTTCATTGTTTACTGGATTGAGTTCAAAATTACAAGGCTACGGAGTATTATTGAACATTAGTAGTCACAAACCAAAAATTGGGTCGGCTGTTATAAATATAAATATGTGTATATCGATACATGATGAAATCGTTATACATCTGAAGTAAAAATAAAACAAACTTTAAAAAAGAGAGAGAGCTGAAAAACTTTTGATGGGAAACATATGTCCTCATACTAATTAAAAATCGATAGATATGAAATAAATTTAATAGTTTTTCTCAATAAATATTGTGTTTTAATGCCCTTTTCAAATGTTTTTAAGACCCATTACTCAGAGAATTCGTTTTTATTGTTACAATCATTTGTTTCGTATTCTCAACTGGAATACCTCTTTACGCCAGATCTCTAGTAATCTTGTTCAGGAACTAGAAGATATTATACTTGATTAGTTGATCCTCACAGGGATCTCGATTTAGTCCTCTAAAAAGATAATTCCGTGAAATGAAAGTTCGTTATTTAAAAAAACAAACCGGAAAAAATATTTTTATTTGAATAGTTAATTTTATTAACTTATTTTATTTATTGTATTTCATTTTATTTATTTTTATTTTAATTTGTATTTTATTTCATTTACTTATTTATTATATTGTATTTTGTGTTTGTAAGATAGATTTACTTATTCTACTCAAGGGAGTATTGCATATTTTCTAAAATATGTAACAAGAAAACTTTTAATTATTATTTTTTTTTATTTTAATTTGTTTAAAAATTTTTATTTCATTTATTTATTTATTATATTGTATTTTGTATATGTAAGATAGATTTATTTATTCTACCCAAGGGCGTATTGCAGATTTTCAAAAATTTGCAACAAGAAAATTTTTAATTATTATTATTTTTTATTTTAATTTGTTTATAAATTTTATTCCATTTACTTATTTATTATATTGTATTTTGTATTTGTAAGATAGATTGATGTATTCTACCCAAGGGCGTATTGCAGATTTTCAAAAATATGTAACAAGAAAACTTTTAATTTTTTAAAGAAAAAACTAATAATCATTGCAGTAATTTTATCTAACAAAACATTAAAGCCACTATCAATGACAGTAAGTCAGCATATGCTTTAGCATAAACATTTCCTTTGTAAATGCATAAAAATAAAGCAAAAATAATGTTAAATATGATTTTTTAAACATAGCATTTTGTAGCAAACATTGTCCAATATATTCCTTTTATGCAGTTGGGACATCAGTTTTACTTTTATATATCTTTTACTGAGACTCTAATTACAAGTAAAAATATATTTCGCTATTTTTTTAATTATAAAAAGCAGACTAATAGTCACCAAAAAATCCCTTAGATTATCTTAATCGTATTTGCACAAAAATAAAAAATCTGAAAAAATTAGTTTGAATTTTTTTTTCCTTCCAATTAAAATATTTATCAATAATTTATTTTGTAAATCAAATACATTTAAAGGATGAATAATTGTTTCTCTTAAATCTAAGAAACTGCAAATAAGTGCAAATTTGAAGAATTATTCTTTGGAAGTAAGCTGTGTTTGGAAGAATTTACCTTTAGCGTTCAAAAGGACATCAAGTTTCATACTTCATAACCATAAATTTTTAAAATGCTTATTATAATATTTTTCTATTTTGACCAGAATTAATGCAAAATAATGAAAGAAAGTATGGGGAATATGTTCAATGAAAATTTGCGTCAAAAGTATATTTGACAATGGGTCTTTTATATTAATTTTTAGATTTGAAATTTTAAAAAAAATCGTAGATCATATTAAAAAAGTAAATAGTAGGAAGTATTTTTTGTTCTTTGAAATCTAAATTCTAAAAATATAAGTCAAATATAGGGTTTTATCTATTCCATTCAGCGTTTCACTTGGTCATACTTCCTACCGTAAAAGACATCAATTATTTTTGTGCCATAAAATGTTGCAGCTCTCATCAATATGTATTTGCATCATTTTCTCCTAGTATTTTCTTCGCTTTCAAAAATACACTTTAGCAAGTTGGATGCGAGAAGAAAAAAAAGAAGCATACATATTTTATATATTCCACATTAAATCGCGTCACGTACTCTTGATGAGTGAAAAATTCTGAAGCAGGCAGCCAATCTTACGGCTTTTCAATAGTTGACACTTACGACGTTCTTTTTTTTTCTTCTTTTTTATCGGAATGCATTACGTTGATACCTCATTGTGCATTCTGATATCGTCTGAAATCAATGTAAGGCGAGCTTTGCAACGGAGAATTTGCTGTGCAAAATCTTCGAACCATCTGTGGAGTAAAAAAAAAAAAAAAAATGGCGCACCGCCATTTTACTCGCATCAGATGAGGAGGAAAGTAAATATCACTTCTAGAAATGGTACAAAGAGATGAATAGTAGAATTTTCTTTCTATTTCCGTCTGAATTTTTCACTTCTGATGATTCGCAGCGATCCGTCGAATATTTTTATACTGATTCGAGTTTGAATCTTTCATATTCGAAGAAAGATATTTTCTTGATTTTACGCCCAGCAAACCAAAAAGGAAATAACATTTACGTCTTGGTGAAT